CCAGAGTCACCAAAACTTTTTCAAGTGCACACAGTCTCACTGGTAGTGATGTGGTCTGCATGAGTACAGGCCACATTCAGCACAGAAATAAGCAAAGGCAGTACAAATTGTGCCAATGTTTCCTTTTTCTTTTAGCTTGCACACATTGAGCAACAGCTGTTGCTCAGAGTAGAAAACTATAAAGGGATGGATTGTCAGTTTGCTGCCTAAAGGTAAAGCTTCATTCTCAATAAATGCTGCATATTATGTAAACCACTTAAAAACCTACCCCTTAAAATCTGAAGCTGAAATTTGGATCAAAATAATTAGCTAAGTGATCGTCTAATTCATGCTGTATGGCAGTAATTTTTCTGCCAGCACATCATGACAGGCCATTTATTCCAGAAACCCAGGAACTTCTCAGGAAAGGAAGAAAGAGTTTGTTTTTTCAAGAATTTCCCAGAAGCCGCAGACTGTCAGCTGATTTCCTCCCAGTCCATCCACAAAGTGTTCTGCTGATAAAGGCACATTTCACAACAGCTGAAAGATGCAACTTTGAGGTCCTCACAGTGTGAAGCAATTAAATTAAAGACAGCACCTTATATAAATGCAGTTACTTTCCTTCCACTAGGTGAGACTGCTAGATATGTCAGCTAAGCATAATTAGAGTTCCATTGTGGGAAAATAAAAACAATAACGACCTTGCCAATATCCGCTCGCTTCAATGAAAGAATACATAGTCTTCCACTAAAAACGTAGCTTTGAAAATAAAGATTTCTGGAGGATTTGATTTGCTCAACTAACTGTTGTTTTGCCAAGTGCAAAACATTTTGTGTGTAGTTTATTATATAAAAGGAGGGGAAAAAGGCACAAATTAATTACAAATGGCCACATGCATTCATGTGTTACGTATGTGGGTGGTGTAATTGCAGCGTTCTTAACTGAAGACCCATAAATACTGCTTTTTCCATCCAACATTCAGAACTCTTAGTGAACATGTTGCAAAAGAGAAACAAGAACACAAAATCTCAACTTCAACACCAGGAAGTATCACTCTGGTCACTTTGTGCAAAAATACTAAACATACTAATATATTTATAGCATTGCTAATGTATTTATAGTGTTGCTCCACGCAGCACCCAACAACTCTTCCAACTACCCCCATTGTACATTGATAGCTAAATTTAAATCTCAAACGTGCCCTCCGCACCACTTTATTTAGTGCACAAGCTATTCTGCTTGTCCTCTGAGCAAGACAGTGATTGTCTGTAAATTTGCTCAGAATTAAGGATATTTTTCTATTGTGAAAGGACCCAACGGAAAATGCTTTGAGATGTCATCAAATTGGCTTCACATGGAGCTTTTACAGTCAACACAGAAAAGCATTCACCCTATCAGTCTGAATCAGATTGGAACTAGGTCTCTGAAATGAAAAGGACAGCAGCAAACCCATTCACACTTCCCACATATTTCTGGTTATGAAAAAATGAACTGAACCAGAAAAACAGCTCATTGCAGTCTTTTAACTGAATGAACATCACAATCTAAAGTATTTCACAGGCGCACTAAAGTTCAGAGGATTAGGGTGGTTAGAAGGCAGTCTTCATCTTGATACCTGCTTTAACTGTACCCCTGCAATATCGTCAGGCTCTTGCTCCCCAAGGAAGTAAACAGCTTGTATGCATGCGATTAGATAAATATGAGCACTCCTCATAGCCACACACATACACACACAATTGCTTTGCAGCTAAAGTCTAACTATCACGTGGCAACATGCCAAGCCATGCAAACAATGCGCATCCCAGGGCAGAGAGTAATTAGATTAGAATGGATGCATGCAGAAAACAACGGATTAATTCCGAGTGTAACTGTTTGACTGGATGGCAGTAACCAACTGAAGAGCTCAGCGAGAGGACATTCTTCTTCTTTGATTTGGAAAACCAGTGAACCTGATTAAGCGACATTGGCCACAATTTACCTGCTCCCTCTACACCATTATAGCTCACTTTCTCTCTCCAGTATTGTATGGCTATTGTGATTTAGTTGGTAGTGTTGTCACCTCCAGCTCACGGGGTTCCTAGGTCAAATCCCACTGCAGGACAGGATACAAAATTCGAGATGACACTGTAGTGCTGAAGTTGCTCTCTTTCAGATGAGATATTAAACCCTGCGGGTTCCTCCACTCTCTCAAGTGAACATTGTGAAAAGTCAGCAGTCATGTTCTATCATAATGCATTAGAGTGAAATTGCACTCATTTTATTTAACTGTCACTATCCAGTCTTGGGAGGGATTTATGCGTAAAGTATTTAATGGCATGAATTGCATAACTTACCTATTGTTTTAAATGAAACAGATAACCCTCTCTAATCCTGACTTTAAAGTAGGGGACTGCACACTTTTAGGAGAAGCAAACTATATCTATTTGAATAGGCAGCAGAGAGCATTGGTGCTTTTAACAAACTTTGCAGGATTTTTTCTTACTAGATATTCCAGCTACTCTAATTGTTAAGGTGCACTGGTGGATGGGATCATGCAACTCTAACACCTCACAAATATCCATCTTTTCTAAATCACAATGTATCAAAACAGCATTGATAGCTGCGTATGTAATGAAATTGCAATGTTTTGGGAAAATACTTAAAACTACGAGAAGAAACTGAAACAGGCATAGACCACAGGATACCTCAGCTCTGCTCCACTAATTAAATATCCATATCTAATATTTTGACTCAACATATACTTTCCACCCCCTTCTCTTTTGCTGCCTCCTCTCTTCTAAACCTGGACAACATTCAACCTTGGGCTGATAAGTGGTTGATAAATAACACCTGTACCATACAAGTGCCATGCGGTGGCCACCATCAACAAGACAGAATCCAACAATATCTCCATGTTCAATGGCGTTACCGTTGCAGAAAACCTTGCCAACATCCTGGCAGTTACCACTAACCTAAAACTTAACTGGACCAGCCATAAAAACACAGCAGCAACAACAACAGGTCAAGAGGTTGGGAATTCTACAGCATTTAATTTACCTCCTGACTTGACAAATCCTGATAGAACATAGAACATAGAACACAGAACACAGAACATAGAACACAGAACACAGAACATAGAACATAGAACATTACAGCACAGTACAGGCCCTTCGGCCCTCGATGTTGCGCCGACCTGTGAAACCAATCTGAAGCCCATCTAACCTAAACTATTCCATTATCATCCATATGTTTATCCAATGACCATTTAAATGCCCTTAAAGTGGGCGAGTCTACTACTTTTGCAGGCAGGGCATTCCATGCCCTTACTACACTCTGAGTAAAGAGCCTACCTCTGACATCTGTCCTATATCTATCACTCCTCAATTTAAAGCTTCGTCCCCTCGTGCTAGCCATCACCATCCGAGGAAAAAGGCTCCCACTGTCCACCCTATCTAATCCTCTGATCATCTTGTATGTCTCTATCAAGTCACTTCTTAACCTTCTTCTCTCTAACGAAAACAGCCTCAAGACCCTCAGCCTTTCCTCATAAGACCTTCCCTCCATACCAGGCAACATCCTTGTAAATCTCCTCTGCACCCTTTCCAATGCTTCCACATCCTTCCTATAATGCGGTGACCAGAACTGTACGCAATACTCCAAGTGCGGCCGCACCAGAGTTTTGTTCACTGCTGGCTTGTGCCTAGTCAATAATGTGAAGGAATACTTTTTAGTTGCCTGAATGAGTGCAACTCGAATAACACTCAAGTAGCTCAACAAAGTAGCTTGCTTGACTGGTGCCTCATCCACCACCTTAAACATTCAATCCCTCCACTGCCAATGCTGAGGGACAGCAGTGTGTACTATATTCAAGGTGCACTGCAGCAACTTGCCAAGCCTTCTTCAACAGCTCCTTCCAACCATGCAATCTCTATTGCAGATGAGCAAAGGAAAACATACATGGAATGCCACCACCTGAACATTCCCTCCAAACACCCGAACCAGAGATCCTTCCCTAACTGCACTGACAACACACAAACATTAGGACTTCAACAAGGCAGCTCAGTATCAGCTTCTCAAGCAGAATTCATTTTGAGGAACAAAAGACAGCCTTGCCCTTGAGAGCAATGTGATTCATAAAAAATAAACATGATCTTCCAGCCTTGACTTTCCTATTTTCTGCTAGCCAACTCCTCCTCCTCTTTACAAGTTCATTCCTCACGCTGTTCCTTTCTTCCCTACTACCACCTATCTTCTCCACTATTTCTTTCCCCCTTCACCACTCTCTCATTCCCTCCATTTTCTTCATTCTTTCTCTATTCTCTTCCCTCTCCTGCCTCCTGCATTCACTTCTCCTTGCTTTATGGTTCCCTTCCCTGTCCTAAGCCCTCCACTCTTCCCCAACCCCTCCTTCACCCACACTCCTGTCCCTTTCCTTTCCTCTGCCATCTCCTTCCCTCTCCCTCTGCTACCCCTCCACTTCCTTCCCTCTGCCACTTAGTCCCCTCATTCTCCCCCGTTCCCTCCACCTTGGCCACTCCTTTCTCTGCACCCCCTCTGCAACACCCTGACCCAATTCTCCCTTCTATCAAACCCCCCTCCCTGTTCCCCTCGATGACCATTGTCTCTGTTCTGCCTCTCCCAGGCTACCCCACTGTTCCCCCTCCCTCATTTCGATCCTTATTCCTGCTCCAAACTCCTTTCCAACTGCCTCCACCAAACAGTTGCACGTTGCACAACCATCAGTTACCAGGGTTTGAATAGAGCTGTTCAGTTTTGTACATATCCTGGCAAAAGTCACATACTGAAAGACTAAGTTTGATGATGACAACGACAACAACAATTAAGGCAGCTGTAAGTAAAGAAACCCACCGAATTCAGCACTGCTTCCTGTTTTGCTATTTATAAATTATTCAGAAACAGAAAAAAACATTTTTTTTCCAGATGCTGCTTTGGAGTCTATGCTTTAAGTACTGAAAATATTCGTGATAAAGATGTTTTCATTGATCTCTCTGCACGTTTGGCTGTTAGAAACTGATACTCACTTCAGCCTCCTTCTGCAGCAAAATCTTGTCCTTGTCAACTGTTTCATCCTCCACGTCCCTGGTGATACAGAGAGAGAAAATCAGAAACTTGTCTAACTCAAGGTCGCTGCCCATCCCTCATGGTGACCTCCTCCCTGTGCTGGATTCTTCCTTGGGTAAGTATGTCAATTAGGTGCAATTGGAAATTATTTGCAGGGAAACCCACACAAATGCATCCAAAATCATCTCACATACAATCACGTACTGTCAATCTGCATCTATTAAAAAATGGTGGAAATAGTGACATGACAACCTGAATTCAAACAGAACTGAGCCATCCTAATGGAAGAAAGCACTGAATTGTATTATTAAAGAATATACTACGTCCAAAAGCCATTCCAATAGCAGTTTGAGGATTTTTATCATGGGGTTTCTTTTAGTATTAACAGTTTGAAAGCTCCAGATGTCAACTGTTCTTATATTTAATTAATACACATGCAGAATATACGGGTATATTTAATACATGACTTGTACCAACCCGATCATCAGGTCCCTATAAAAGAAGGATTGTTACATTTTCCTGCCAGAAATACCGCTAGAAAGGATGATCCTGAGTGTGACATCAGAGGACATGACAAAAACAAGCACCTAGTATGCTAATCCCATTTTCCAGCACTTGGCCAAAGGCCTTGCATATCTTGGCACATCTAAACACTTCTTAAATGTTGACAGTTTCTGCCTCTACTACCCTTATAGAAAGCAAGTACCAGAATCCCACCACCCTCCGGGTGAAAAATAAATGTCCTCACATCTCCACTAAACCTCCTGCCCCTTACCTTAAATCTGTGTTCCCTCGTCACGGATCCCTCCACCAAGTGGAAAAGTTCCTTCCTGTCTACCCTACCCATGTCCCTCAATTTTATACATCACAATCACATGCTGCCTCCTCTTGCCCAAAGAAAACAACCCGTCTAGCCAATCTCTCTTCACAACAAAAGCTCTCCAGCCCAGGCAACATCCTGGTAAATCTGCTCTGGACCCCCTCCTGTAATGTAAATTCCAAAACTGCAAACAATGCTCTAGCTGTGGCCTAACTAACATTTTATATAGTTCCAGCATAATCTCCTTGTTCTTAAACTCAATGCCTTGACTAGCAAAGCCAAGTATCCATTATGCCTTCTTAACCACTTCATCTACCTGTCTCACTGCCTAAGGGACTAGTGGGACTTGCAGACCAAGATCCCTCTGATGCTTGGTGCTTCCCTACCACTCCTCATATATTCCCTTACCTTGTTTGGCCTGCCCAAGCACATCACCTCAATTATCCAGATTGAATTCCATTTGCCGCAGATCAGCCCAGCCAACCAGCCCACTTATATCCTGCTGCAATCTGAGGCTATCCGCCTCCATATTTAGCACCCCACCAATTTTTGTACCATTCGCAAACTTACTGACCGACCTCCTATATTCATGTCTAAATTGTATACAACAAACGGCGAGAGCCCAACGTTGATCCTTGCAGAATCTCACTGAACACAAGCTTAGTCAGAAAAATACCCCTTGTCTATCGTCCTCAACTTCCTGCTACTCAGGTGTTTCTCTCAACGTCCCTTTCTGTCTTTTTAATCTAATTTCCTGCAGTTTTCTGAGATATTCCCTATATTTGGACTGGCTGACTTGAATTTTTTTTTTATTGTTTCAAGTTTAAAATTTGACCCTGTTCTTCTTTTCCCCTCGATTGGAATATGCCAGATTTTGGCATTTTCTATTTCCTGTTAGAATGTTTCTGTTATCTATGACAGGTTATGGCCATATTTGGCAATTCCTTCCCTTTGCCATGCCTTACATTTTATCTGGGCAAAGTAATTTATAGCAAATTGAAAAGTAATGATTCTCCAGTCAAATTCCTTGTGTTCAACAGTTCCCTCTTCTATTCATACATTGACTTATTATATTGTGGTCGTTGCTTCTCAGATACTCTCACCCTTTCAAGTCATCTGAGTGGCTCTGCTTAAATACTTTAATAGGGCAATTACTGCAAAAGAAAAAGAAAAGAACTGTGGGTACTGGAAATCTGAAATAAACTTTGAAAATGATGGAAACATTCAGCAGTTCTGGCAGCCTCTGTGGAGGGAGAAACTGAGTCGTTTCAGGGTGATGATCCATGAGATCGGATTTTCTCCTTATTCTTTCATGGAAACTGGGTGATATTGAGAGGGTCAGCATTTGTTGCCCAACTCAAATTGCCCTTGAATACAATTAAGAGTTAACCACATTACTGAGGGTGCTGAGTCACATGTAGGCCAGACTTGGGAAGGATGGCAGATATACTTGCCTAAGGATGTTGGTGAACTGTATGGATTTTTATGTCAATTGACAATAGCGATCATGGTCATTACTGAGATTAACTTTCCAGTTTAATTCATTTAAATTTCAGCAGTTGCCATGGTGGGATTTGAGTCTATGACCCCACAACATTAACCTGGGCCTCTGGATAACTTGTCCAGTGACATTACCACAATGCCAGAGTCTCCCCAGAAAACAGGTTTTATTGACTCTTTCTCTCACCAGAGGCTGGCAACATCTATATCCAGTATTTTCTATTTTTATTTAAGGAGTGCACGCCTCCTTTTTAAGAGCTGCAACAGATCATTTTAGAAAATAATAGCAAATGCATTGCAAACAAACCTCTCCCTTTTCATCACAAAAATTTTTCCTCTCTGTCTAGCCTTGTATATGATTAAAAGTTACCACAATTACATCTCTATTATTAATATGCCCCTCTACATTCTCTGGAAATTACATTTTCAATTTATTTTCCCCTCTTGATGAGTTAGAATATACTTAGAGCCACATCCAATCCTCTCACTTTATTTAGCTCAATTCCAAAGGAACCTCTTTAGGCTACTTCTCCATTTAAATCCTCTCATGCACGTAATATAATACAGTCTCTAATTAAGATAGCAACCCTCGCTCACATTTTTCTGTAACTATGCTTCCTGAGGGTTTATATCAAGAACACTTTAAAATCAACGCAGTTGCAGTCAAAGCTCAGGCAATGCTATTGCCACATGATTTTCTATTTTCAGAGTCATAATTACCTTTCCTGTTTGCCATTCATTAATATTATTTCATTTCAGTTTGCATACCTAGATTTCCGAAAGCTTGCTTCCCCAGGACTGTTTCTTTGTCATTACTGTATATTGCTTAATCTCTTTCCTTTACCCAATGCAAATAAACTGAAATCTCTCCCATAGGGTCAGAAGTGTGGATGTTCCCCAATGACTGCACAATGTTGTGCACCATTTGCAACTCCTCAGATACTGAAGCAGTCCACGTTCAAATGCAACAAGATCTGGACAATGTCCAGGCTTGGGCTGACAAGTAGCATTCGTTCCACATAAATGCCAGGCAATGGTCATGTCCAGTAAGAGACACTCCAACCACGCCTCTTGACATTCACTGTTGTTACTATTACTGAATGTCCCACTATCAATATCTTTTGGGTTACCACTAAACAGAAAATCAACTGGACTCCCCACGTAAGTACAGCGGCTGCAAGAGCACGTCAGAGATTAGGAAAACTCTGGGAGTAACTTACCTCCTGGCTCACCAGAGCCGGTCCACCATCTACAAGGCACAAGTCAAGAGTGTGATGGAATACTCCCCACTTGCCTGGATAAGTGCAGCTTCAACAACACTCAAGAAGCTTGACACCAACCAGGACAAAGCAGCCCGCTTGATTGGCACTACATCCACAAGCATCCACTCCCTCCACCACTGACGTTGAGTGGCAGCAGCGTTCTCTATGAGATGCACTGCAGAAATTAAACAAAGATCCTCAGACAGCATCTTCTCAGCCACGACCTCTTCTAGCTAGAAGGACAAGGGGAGCAGATACACAGAAACACCACCACCTGCAATTTCCCTCCAAGCCGCTCACCATCCTGACTTGCAAACATATCACAGTTCTTTCACTGTTATTGGGTCAAAATCCTGGAACTTACTCCCTAACAGCACTGTGAGTCAGCATACACCACTTGGACTGCAGGGTTCGGTAGGCAGCTCACTACGACCTTCTCAAGGGCAACAAGAAACAGGGAATAATGCTGGCCAGCTCATGTCCCATGAATAAATAAACAAAATCTACTCCATGAATCTGAATCCCTTTGTCTTGTAAAGCATCTGCCACCATGCATATATAATGTTGTGTGAGTGAACAATGAGGGATTTAATCTCTAATTGCACACAGTCTTACATCTTTGCGCTATGCTCACTACAGTTGCCAGGGACCGGACAATCGCAAACATGAACTCATAACTCATACTCATGAATAGACATGAGCTCCTTCCCAACCTGAACATGTGTTCAGCTGCTGACCTCCATTTTCTGCCCAACAAGCAAACACATTAGACAGTTACAATATCTCTTCTGAGTTGTTAGGTATCAGGCAAAGAACAGCATGGAATGGGAGGCTTGGCCTAGTGGTATTATCGCTAGACTAACAGGTTCTCTGGATTAAACATGTTCTGGGAACTGGGTTTGAATCAGACTACGGTAGATTATAGAATTTGATTTTAATTTTAAAAAATCTGGAATGGAGTGTTTAATGATGACCATGAATTCATCGATTGTCGGAAAAATCCATCTGGTTCACCAACATCGTTTAGGTAAGGAAACTCATCCTTATCTGATTTTTTCTACATACCCCTCAAAGTTGCTACCCAAGTTGACAGGGTTGTAAAGAAGGCGTATGGCATGTTGGCTTTCATTGGCATGGGAATTGAGTTTAAGAGCCGCGAGATTATGCTGCAGCTCTATAAAACCCTGGTTAGATGACAATTGGAATATCGTGTTCAGTTCTGGTTGCCTCATTATCAGAAGGATGTGGAAGCTTTGGAGAGGGTGCAGAAGAGATTTACCAGGATGCAGCCTGGACTGGAGGGTAGGTCTTTGAGGAAAGGTTGAGGGAGCTAGGTTTTTTCTCATTGGAGCAAAAAGGAGGAGAGGTGACTTGATAGAGGTGTACAAGATGAAGAGAGGCATAGATAGAGTGGATAGTCAGAGACTTTTTCCCAG